CGGCCAGCTTTGGCCTGGGGACCTCGGTGCCGTCCTGCGTGGGGGCCGTCCCCTCAGGTTCCCACCTGTTCCCCACATTCTCCCTTTGGGGCATCGTCCCTTTTGGGGCCGGTGGCGTGTCCCCGTGGTGTGGTCCCATTTCCCATGTTGGTGGCGCCGAGTGTTCTCCTCGTACACCTCTTGACCCGCTCAGTCCCTGGAAACGGCTCTCGGGTCACTTGCCCGTGCTCCGCCTCGTCCCGGGTGCGTCACTTGCCGCCCTGGACGGTGCTGCCTCAGGCAGGCGCTGGTCCCCTGCCGCTTGTCCCTCCCCTGGGTCGGCTCCCCCTGCGCTGTGCAGAAGCTTGTACTTGGATGAGGTCCCACTTGTCCGTTTCTCTTGTCACCTGTGCCTTTACGTTCTTGTCCAAAGCCCCTCCACACAGCGGCCGTCCCCCCACCCCCTGCCCTGCTCTGCACCTGCATGTTCCCCGCGCTCCCTGACCTCCACTTCCTGGAGGCTTTGCCCCGGGGACCCCGCTGGGGACCAGAGGAGGCAGGCCAGCTGTCCCTCCCTCTGCTTGGCCTCCTGGGGCATCCTGGGGTGGCCGTGTCCTCCTGGCTCCAAAACCCCGGGAACCCGCCCGCCATCATCCCAGGTTCTTGTGGGCAGCCTGTTCCTGGCTCCAACACCGCTGTTGGCACCACAAGCTGGCACCCCTACGCTGGCACCCACAGCCTGCCGTCGACGGCCCCCGGTGGCCTCGCCATATCCAGCTTGGCTTCTCGTCCTTCTGTGTCCAGCTCGCGGGATGAAGTCCTGCCCATTTGCAAGGCCTGGAAAGCTCCCTGGCTGCTGGCTGGGCCTGGCTGAGGAGCCATGACCCTTGGGGACGAACGCGTGTAAACCCCGGGGTGCGTTCTCGTCCCGGGAAGAGGGACAACTCCCTGCAGACTGACCTCCACCCCACGCCATCTCCAGGGCACGTGGCCTCCTGCTGGGAGCCTGTGAATTCGCACTGGAGACTCGGGGTCCCACGTGTCATGTTAGCTCTGTCCTGGTCCCGCCACTTCTCAAGATGAGCCGTCCGGCCCCTCTGAGCCTCCTTCAGATGGGGAAGTAGCGCCCACCAGCTGTGATAGCGAGGCACTGGGTGGGAGCCGTGCCTGGCTCGCAGCAGCGGGAGGATCCTGAGCACTACTCTGTGTCCAGCCCTGTGCTCGCTTGTCCCTGGGCCTCTGCTGGTCTTCCTTGTGGGGAGCACTCCTGGCAAATGATTCAGGCTCCTGTGTCTCCATTTGCAAGCTGTGAGCTCACCCATTCATCAGTGAGCACTGCTGACCGTCTGTGTGTGCCAGGCCCGGGTAGGTGCTCAGGACACACATGCCAGAAGCTCCGCAGAACGTGAGACAGGGATTGGAACAGAAGGTGGCAACACAGGAGCAGGACGGGTGCAGGGTGGGGAGGGCTCCGTGTTAGTCTGTTTTCCATACTACAGTGAAATGCTTGAGCCGGTGACTTTAGAAAGCAAAGAGGTTTGTTCTGGCTGAGATTCTGGAGGCCGGAGGTCAAGGGCTGTGCCTGGTAATGTCCTGTTGCTGGCAGCCCCAAGGTGATGCTCGGCCTCCTGTGGAGTAAGCTGCCCTCTTGATACTTCACGGTGGGGACGGAATTCAACCAGTGAGGCCCAGGGACACGCAGCCAGGTCCCAACCTCGCAGGTCTCGGGAGGAGCGGTTTTTGTTTTTCTTCCTGACCCCGAGGCGGGTTTTTGGTGGCTCCCTGGAGGTGGTGGCATCGGAACTGTGTGCCCATGAGGAGTGCGCAGCAGGGCGTGGTGGCCACAGGCTCCCTGCCCTGGCCCGACCCCCAGCTGGAGGCCCCACCATGAGCGGGGTCCCGGGGAGCAGGGGAGCGGGAGGTGAGGGCAGGGCTCTGGGGCCACCCGCAGCCTGGACCGGGCGGGCGGGGCTTGACTGCACCCCGCGGTGTCTGTGGGGGTGACCAGTGGCCTGACGCACAGGGTCGGAGCAGGCTGACGCGCGTGACGTTGGCCTGGCACTCCCAGGGCTGCTGAAGACTAGGACGCTGCCCGTCACGGGGACGAGTGGCCCTGACTCCAGTCCCCTCCCTCCACAGCTGCCACCTTCATGGAGCACTGGAAGCGGAAGCAGATGCGGCTCAATTACCGCTGGGACCTCACGGGCTTCGAGGAGGAGGAGGTCAGTGGCTGGGCGCTGTGCAGCCCCTGCCCCCAGGTGCCCCGGCCACGGCGAGGCTCCTCCCCGACCCCTGCCCCCCCACGGGGCTCCAGACCCCCGCAGTGTCGGGGTAACCGTTTTGCGTGTGCCAAGGTGTCTGCCCACGCGGACGCGCCACCCACCAGCGGTCTAGGGCGCACGTCCAGGCTCGCCCACTGACCTCTTCCCATCTGGGGGCTGCAGGGTGTGGGGAGGGCACACCTCGCCCGTGGTCCCCAGAGGCCCCCAGGCCTCGGAGCCAGCTCCCTGCCCGCAGCCAGGCGCAGCTCAGCAAGGGGACCCGTCCTGAGACCGCAGAGGGGAGGCAGGGCCCCTCTGAAGGGGGGACGTACAGTGGCCATGGCGTGCCCAGCAAGCCCCAACCAGGAAGCCCGAGTGCCCGGCGAGGGGCCTTCCTGCAGCTGGCACAGAGCAGGCGACCCCCTGCAGGTGGAGGGTGGCCCCAGTGTCCTTGCCTAACAGGCAGGAGGAGTGGCCCTCGCCCAGTGGGAGGGCGTGGGAGGGCTCAGTGGGTCCATGGACGGGCCTGCTCAGAGCCCGCCCAGCACGCAGCAGGAGCCTCCTAAGTGCTCACCCAGCTGCCTGGCCGGCAGCAAGCGGCTGTCCAGGCCGAGCCAGGTCAGAACCTGAGCTGTCCTCGAGGCAGTCCTTGAGGTCAACCTAGTGTAGACCTGGGTCAGCAGACACGCGTGCCCGCCCAGGGGGCGCCTAAAGGGCTCCCTGAAGTGAGCGACCCCGGGTCACAGCTGCCCTGGGCCTTGGGGGAGGCAGCAGCCTCAGGTGGAGGGCCCCCTGAAGTCCGAAGCCCAGGTGTCGGCACACCAAGCAGCAGCTCTGTCCAGCGAATGGCCTCTCTGCCTCCCGGCTGTGCCGAGGGACTGAGTCTGGCACTGACTTGGGAATCTGCAAAAACTTAGAGCTACAAAGTGAACAGCTCACAAGGTCATCCTGAAGCCACCAGGACTTCACAGATCCCCGGTCCCTGTCAACCCCTGTCCCCAATACGCTGTGTCCATTGTGTCCGTTCACCTTCATGGTGATTCTTCAGAGAAGTCTTCAGCTGGGCGAGGTGGCACACACCTGTGACCCCAGTGCTCCGGAGGCTGGGGCAGAAGGATCGAAGTTCAAGGCCAGCCTCAGCAACTCAGTGAGGCCCTGAGCAGCTCAGTGAGACGCTGTCTCCAAATAAAATGTAAAAGAGGGCTGTGGTGTGGTCAGGGGTCAAGTGTCCCTGGTTCAACCCCTGGCACCTGTGTGTATGTATATAGCACTGTCTCTAGAGGACACGTCCTGTTCTGAAAACAGCCGAGTAACTGAGTCTTTCTGTTTTTTCTCCACTGTCTGGTTCCTGAAGGAGGCCGTCAAGGTTTGGAATTTCTTGTCATCCTCTGTCCCCCTCTAGCCTGTCTCCCGGGAGAGGGACCTTCCGGCACGCCTGCCCGCCTGTCTTCCGTGTGGCTCTCACTCTTGCACCTGGGCCGGGCTCTCTGCTCCCCCTCGCCTCACCTGTTCTCCATTCCAGTGCCTCGCTGACCTGCCTGGCCCCCGGGCCGCCTGCTGCCCGCGCTTGCTGGTACTTACTGGTCTCTTCTGGCCCCGCAGCTGCTCTGCACAGTGTCCCGGGGCCAGTTCGTGGCTGGGCGCTCACTGCAGCCCGCCCACAGCCCACCACCCTCCAGGTCCACTGGCCTCCCCGCAGGACGTGGTCCCCACAGGGGAGCCGCCTGGGCCTGTACCCAGGCCCAGACACGGGGGCTTCTAAATCGGACATGTGGCCAGCTGCCCACCGTGAACTGGCCCCAGGGCGCCGGAGCGCACTGCCCACAGCCGCCCCGGGCCACCGCAATTGGCCTGCGCGG